CAACCAGTTCACAGCCAAAAACAGATAAAGAAAAGGCACCTTAGGTAATCCGCAGGTTGTTCACTTTGCTGACTCCAGAGATGAAAGGGTGGTTTAATCCTAAAATGCCAAGAGGTGAATCCTGCCCTTGTCTCTAAACCAATGTTTCCTGCAATTATCCTCCAATTAATTCTCCACAGAAACGTCATACAGGGTATTAATGTGTAATAAATTTTATAGCATATGGATCTGTATGTTCTCATACTATAGCAGCCATAGTTGTACACAGGTTAGATGTGGACCTGGGCAAGCTAAAGCACATGATCAAAGCTTCTGAGCATGAGAGCAAAGTTACTTCTCCTTGATTCACTATCCAGCTAAAATGCCATGCAAGCAGTATTGTAGCCTCTGGAAACAATTAGGATGTAGGGAGTTAAATATTAGTGGATAACTATAGAGTTTGCTGCAAATTATATTAATCATCTGTGTTTCTGACCCTAAAACATCTTTCAGGTGAAATTTTATGTTTAAATTAATTGGCTGAGGCAAGTACACCCACCTCTGGAATGCAGTACTTTACTGCTCTGGGATTCCACACCTTGTAAACAAGGATTTTCTGTCCTTTGGCCTTTGTTTTTCGACAATTTGAAATGGTAGAAAATGCAAGAGATTAACTTCCAGAATATATGCTGGGCCACATTTTCCAGCTGGCATGAAGCTGAAGTTGCTGTCATTGCTGCTTATCTGTCTGGGTGCTGTGTTTTCTTACAATACATTAATATTGTTTGCATCCATCGTAAGAAAGCAGATTGTTAAGCCTGTGCTATGTAGGCATTTTCCACTTCCCTCCCATAAGAATTTCATATGACAAATGCATTTTAGCAGCATAGATTCACTTTGTGATAAAATGCGATAAGTCACATAGCTCCAGTACTTGCTCCTCAATCCCAGGCCATCTGCACAGTACCTACACACATACGTGTGCTGACTCCCAGTGAACACTGGAACAAAACAGCTACTTCCCTCTCAGCAAACTCAGGCTTTGACCAAGAAGGGCTGTGCTCAGAGCTGCTGTAGGGGCTAAGTTGTGTCTGCCTCTCTCTGTCCACAGAAACTGCTTCCACCCCACATGCCTCCCAGCCTGACTCTCCCATGGATGCCCTCATTTGTGCCCCAGGACATGTCTCATAAACCATGGGCAGTGTATTACAAACAGCTCCTGTGAGCTGTACAGCGGTCCTATAATTAACCTGGAGAAGAGCCAGTTTGAAGAAAAAGCATGTCCGGTTCACTAGTGTACACACTGCTCTAATATAAGCTGAGACCTTGGCATGCTACAAGGAGCTGATGTGGAACCCACAGGTGTAAAGAGGACACTCTTTGGTTACTGTGGGAGCATGAAGAGACCAAGCAGAAGGGGAACCAACATTCTTAGTAAGCTTGCTCAGGCTCTTCATATGGATGGCCTCAGAAAAAAAGTCTCAGAGTCACCTCAGGAGTAGTGTTGATGTATGCAGCTGATGAAAATTCCAGTGCAACTGGCTGGAGCTGGTTTGGCATACACACTTGAGCATGGATCCTGTCCACTCTGCTACACAGTCAGTGTGCTCACTGGCAACTTCTGAGTACACAGCTTCCTTCATCAGTGATGGTAGTCTAGGTAAAATCAATTGTTAATTTTTAAGCAAGATTGCACAGGACCACCTGAGTATAATGTGGTCTTGTGTGATTATGCCTACAAAGTGTTATTCATGCCAGAGGGTTTACAGAAGGGCTTTTTGTGTTCTCCATCTGTGGCTGCCTTGATTTTTAATGCCCAGTTCTCAAAGAAAGGGCACCAGACTAAGCAGCTGATACAACTCATAGGGGCTAAAGAAACCAGTTCATACTCAAACAGACAAGAATGCATTTCCAGGCTAGTAAAAACAGAACAGTCCAATAGAAATATTTCTATCAATGTTATACAATGATGTACTGGTAAAGATAGTCCAAATTGTCCACTTTTTATAGCTCATTCCCAATTAGGATTCAGCTAAGCCTGCTGCACACTGCTCAGCCTCCTCGCCACTGTGGTGCTGTGCTCCAGCTCTGCTCCTCTGTGTTCTCAGGGCACTGGCACCAGCCTGCTCTGTGATGGAGGCAGGGTGTTGCAGACTGCCAGGGATATGTTTGTGTTCATCCTTTTTCACCTCATCTCCTCCAGAAGTATGACTGATGCTGGAAGGTTTTCTCTTCACTCTTTGTCCATTTGGAGTCATTTGAAACGGTTTCTGACAAGTCTGCTTACTTGCTCTTTCCTCATTAGTTTGTAATTCCATGCCATATATGAACTTCCTGGATATAGTGTATTTTACTTACGCTAGAGGCTCCTTGTTTGTCATCCCTAAAAATGCAATTCACAAGCTTCCTTTCCTTCAGTGATTAATAGCTGGCCACACAAATGTGTGATTTGTGTTTACAGTCACGGCACCCCTGGTATCATTCTGCACTCTCACTAAGAAGCCTTCTCCTGTCATTACAAACTTGTACTTTCAGGGGCTCCTTTTTAATCCCGTTTTCCTTCAATCACAGAAAGCTGTGGTTTCCTGATAAGCTAATGAATGGTTCATTAGTACTTCCTAGTCACCCATACATCCTTGTTTTAGAGTCAATTCTGACACTTGACAAGAAGAATAACAAGCCTTCAGAAGAGACACAAAAGACATACACAGACACAGACAGAATATTTTGCTTCTAGTTGCTAGTTATGGCGGCGGCGCTGATGAGTTGGTTTACAGCTGCAGCGCTCTAATGGATAAACAATCTGGATTATGCCTCAGTAATTTCCACCATGACCATACTTATGTAGACATAGATTGGTGGTCTTATGAGTGATGAGGTTTCAGAGCATTTTCCTCTGCCATGGGCTGTTGCCAAATGCCTCCATCAACTGTTGGAGATGGTAACCATATACAAGAATTTGGTATCCAGTCCCGGCCATCTTGGTCCCACCAGGGACATTGCTGTCCTGGGTCACAAGTCTTTTCTGAACTACAGAGAAACTGGCAAGAATATGGTCCTGCTGAACCAGCAGGTAAGTTTTTCCAAACCAGAACTGATGTTTTGCTGGCTTTTCTAGGAAGGATGGCTGATGTAGTTGTCAAATGCCTATTTGTTCTCGTGTTTTCAACTTCTTCTGGGGAGGCTTCATACAAGGGTAGAAGTCAAATATAGCAGGGATGAGATGCTAGAAAGCCTGCTGGAAACAGACCAAACCAGGCTCTGCAGATACACAGTATGCTCACAGCTATCTTGGACTAACCCTAACATTTTGGAGATAAGCTACAATAGGGCTGCTGTCTTCATAAACATAGTTGCCAGCTCTATGGAACTGGATGAATTTGGGACTAATGCCAAGTTCGGGTGATACTCCTCACATGAAAGACCATGTTTTTCATTTCTCTCTGCTCCTATACATTTGTAAAGTCTAGGTTACTTTTAATTACATATCTGAGAAAGTCAATAAATTATTACTTTCAGAAACAACCATGTATTATCCTTTTTTTTATCAAAGTGACTGGTAGAATTCACATCATTTGATTCAATGACAGACACAGATAACTTTGAGGTAGTTCCTGTATACTTACAGAGAATATACAAAGTTCTGTTGTCCTGACCACAGCATGATGCAAGCAATGAGATTTAATTCCTGTAAAGTCTCCACACACTTCAGAGACTAGTGTATGCCCAAAAGTTGTCTCTCAGCTCGGTCATGTCAGCACTGCCTCTCTGACTCAATATCCTTTGATGTTAGCATGCCTCATGATAGAAGAGTGTGAACCACTCTCACGTCACAGTCTCTGTTTCCTTCATAGAAGATCCTGCAGTGGTTTGAACTGATCGATCTTTTTTCATACATCAGAGAACCCTTCGTTTAAGCAAGGAGAAATCACCATAGGTAGGGTCAGCCACCCTATCTCAGATAAGAGATTGCTCGTGCAGAGCTGAACTGTGGTAACTTTTCAGATGTACTCCATCACTTGTGGTTACCACTTGCTAGATTATCTGAGAACTTTTTCATGCTGTCTCAAACATGTTGTGTCTTGAAAATCCACTGTCACAAATGTGAATACTTGAAGACTTCTAGATTGGATGCTTCTGAAGCAGGTGGAAAGCTGCTCTCTGAGAGGAGATACTGCTGGCTATTATTCACTTATAGAAGTCTCATCTCATATTCATTACCTTATAGAAGTCTCCTATGGTTAACTAATGATTTTTTCTTATTAGTCCAGGATATCTTGATCTGTGTTTGCTCAGTTCTTTGAATTGTTTCTCATTGAATTCAAATGGCATTTACCCCACATACTTTAACACTCAGTGCTACTGAATTCTTAGATAAATTTCTGTTCTCTCAAAAACTTAAGAAAGCTCTGCTTGAGCAAACCCAAGTGACCATCTTTTGGCAATAAATATGTATATCTTGACACTGTTCTTGGGCTGCTTGTCAGACTCCTGGAAAAGTAATAGCGCCTTTCACTTCAGCTTTCTCTGAAATAAAAGAAAAAATGATTTTCTTCTTCACATGGCAGGCAAGTTCAAGCCTTGCTTATACGCACCAGTGCAATTCAGTGCAATCTGTTTCTACTCCATGATTTTCTCCCATTGTATTTGTTTACATACTTTCATAAAATGTAAATTTGAATCACTTTGGTGCAGGTATACAAGTGAAAACAGCTCTGTTCTTTATCCTAGTAACACGTATTACGCCGCTGCTGATCTCTTGCAATAGCCTGCAATCAAGAAGAAAACGCATTGTCTGCTGGAATTAAAATGAAATTAGAAAGCTCGAGTAATGCATGTTTTTCTTCTTTCTCTCGCTTTTTTTTTTTAAATGCAGCTAGAGATCCTGAATATAGAGTAGCATTGGGTTCTTCCAAATCAGTAGAAATATGCAAATTCTTTGCTTGTTTTTGAAGTTTCACTCATACAACTCATACAGAGCTGGAACAAAAGCTTAGCTGAATTATTTTCTTTACTCCCAGGCATGTAGAAATCTTGGATTTGCTGCTGAAGGCATAGCACAATGCAATTGGCAGAGATGCAGAAACATGTACATCTTGCCAAAGCATGCACAAAGAGGAAAATGGAAAGAGGAAAACACATGAATTATGGAATTATGGAAATGTCAGACCATCGGATTAAATCCTGATGCTAGTTATGCCAATGTAAATCCATGAATACCTTTTTTTTTTTTAATATTATAACAGAAATTGTTCTCTGTTTTCTATTAAAAACAGTAATATCTGTTTTTAATATAAATTACTCTGTGGCTCTTGTTTGTACAGGAACAAATACCTGCTTTTGAAGTGAAAAATTAAGCTCCTAGACACTTGTTTTCAGTTCTTATTCTGTGCTAGCTGTTATGACATATGCATGGAGACAGTAACATCAGATTTATGCATGTAAGAATCAGGCTGAACAACTGTATATGAGTTACTCTAATTGCATTTCCAGTAGAAATTGAGTTAAGTTAAACTGAATTTGACCTTGTCTATCCATTTTGTATTACTGACATTTTGAAAAGGTCCCAGGATCTGTCTCTGTTCCTTTGGTATGGCACTTCCATTGTCATTCTGACCTCTAAAAACAGTGTTACAATCCCTGAATGTTTCTGTTCCCCTTGGGTGGCTTGGCCTGACCCCCTGAGTGCTATCAACATCTTTGGGCCCGTATCAGCTATAAGCCAAGATCAGCTTCTCCACAGAGATTGTTTTGCTCACTTTCATTTCTCACCATGAAAATCATCAGTCCTACTATTTGATACTGCTGAAGAGTTGGATCAGACACAGAACCTCATCCCAAATGCATCCCTAATGCAGCCATAAAAAAACATGTTCTAGGAGAATGTATACTTCTAGCACACTGTGATCTCAGCTGAACCTCTCAAGTGGTCATTGGCCTGCTAGAAAACTGGAGAAAAGGATCAGTGCATGAAGAGACCATTGGTGGCAAATGGTGACTCACCAGTCATTTTTGCCCAAATGAGCCACTACAGGTATAAATGGAATTTGCAGCACTGCAAGACTAAAGACAGGGCTCTTAGGCAGACTTGCAAGACAATTAAATTCAACAATGAACTATTGCAACGTCATTGTCCTCTGCTACTGTGAGGATGATACTGCTAGTCAGGGATATCGTATCAGTGTTTATGAGCATCTCTATGGAAGGAAATACTGTCATCCCTATCATTCAAAGGCAGTTTGAGTCCTCTCAGGACAAAGATGACCATGCTGATAAGGCTGCTGTTGGCAAGGAAGCCAGAGAGGTCTCCCATGATTCCTAAGCATCTTTGCCTCACAGAAGATATTTAGGATCCAAGAGGTGACAGTATGAGTGCTCCCCATTTTTCTCTGTAAAAGGGAAAGCTTTAGGGATACTTACGAGCCATTTTTTCAGTTTGGAAACCAAGACTGCAGGCCTTCATGAACCAGCACTCTGTGAAGGGGAGATCAGGATTCCTGCCTTACAGTCACGCACAAATCCCACCTTGTGTCTCAAGACTGTTTAATTTTTCTATTAATTTATGTGTCGCATTTTGCTTTGTTTTGCATTCAGAACACATTTCAAGATCCTTACGTTAGCCCCAAATTAAGTTTGATATGATTCATCCCTATCCAGCAAGCAGACTCTTGCCCAGCCTCCTGTGTCTGCCTTGCTCAGAGGAGAAAAGGTCTTCCTGGCCCTTCTCCTCTGCTTCTGATCCTGCTGTCACAGAGAAGCCTGACCTTCACTCTTTACTTGTGGTCTTCCTTCTACTCAATGCTTTGCTTTTTGGCTTTTGGCCTCCCTTTTCCACTTTGGGTTAAATGTAAGCAATTACATGGCAAAAAGTCCAAGAAAGAAAATAAAAGCGTACACATGGAAACAAGAACACTTTGTAAACAACAAAAAAAAGTAAAAGTGTGTAACTGAATATGGCCATCCTCTTCTCAGACTCCTCTTTTCTCAAATTGTCAGTCAGTCACAGCTGACAATATCAGAATTACTGAAATTCTGCTATGCTAGATGAGAAGAAAAATTTGGATATTAAGCATATTCAAACAACCGTATTTCTGTGCTTAGAATCAACTAATGAAGCTTTTGTTGTTATTGTTTAAGCCTCACTGAGGCTATTGCTGCCACATCCTTGAGTCTTTTCTTTCTCAGTTATTATTAGTTTTATCCATTACTATTTTTTTTTAGTTCAACAGCTCTGCACATTTTGTTTTTCTGTCCTAATTTGTATTCAGAATGCTTTCACACTCAGAATGTTGGCTCCATAACATTTTTTACAACTAATCCTTGGATGGAAAGGCTTCATTTCTGGATATGAACAAGTGATATAACAGGTGATCCCAAATAACAAGGATTAAAGAGACTGAGAAAATCAGTTTCTGTAATTCATAAGTGATATAACAGTGGCTATCAGCACTATCTCCCAGGACATGGTATAACTGGAGTATATTTCACAAATCCTAGTTTAAAGCAGTAATGCTGACACCAGTCCTGGATTGCACTGGATTTTATTAACAAAAAAAAATTAGTTATTATGTGGCTACAGTTACCCCAGGATCTGAAGTGTTACTCATTTTTATGTTCTGCATTGATCTTAGACAAAACTCTACATCTCAGCTGAAAATGTATTCAGTATTCTTCATGCTTCTATTGTATTCTATATAGATATTCTATATATATAATATTCTATTCTATTCTATTCATGTTTCTATTTTGTAATAGTGCAGGAGTACCTGTGGAGAAGATCAATTTGTGATTTCTGATATTAAAACTACAAGAGTAAAATAATTTCATTATTATAAAAAAGATTAAAATGATAGATTTTAATAAAAAGCAATATATAAAGAAGATGGATACAGGGATCTTGATTTTTTTACTTGATTTTTAAACATTAACTTTATCCCATAGAATTGAAGAATTTGGGAAGTCACTGCAGAGCTGTGTTGTTATTATGGGATGACAACACACACCATCTGGGCATGGGATGGATGTAATTATCAATACCTGGCATGGTGCTATAAATGCTCCTTAGTTTGCTTTCAGTGTGTTAGGCTCAAGGTGAACCTTCAGAATCACCTTGAAGTAATTAGTGCCTGAAATCCAAAAGCTTGGATTAAGCCTGAAAAGTTGTTTTGTTGTATCCCTGACATTCTCATGTTTCAAAAAGTCTGTTAAACTATGAGCATAAAATGCAGCATTTGAAATCCATGCAAGGCAATTGTTCTTTGATAACTGCATATCACATAGACGGGACAGATTGATTCAAGTTATTTCACCAGTATATGTTTTTTTTTGAGGTAAGAAAGAATAAAACTGCAGCACACACTCTTAAGTCAGTATTTGCTATTTTATAGTTGGTGACTTCACTACCTTTCTGGTCTACTGTAGCAAAGTTTTTGGCTCCTATCAATGTTAGCCACTGGAAATGACTCATGCCCGGTAGCTCTGATTTCCTTTCCCTCAGCCTTTGTGACATTCTCCAGAGTACAGAATGAGATAAGAGGAATTGCTCTGTGGAAAACACCCACCATTGCTGCTACTGTTAATGTCACCCTAACAGATAAGTCTCAGCTTTAGCAGGAGCGAAGTCTGCTAAAAGTCCACGAGGAACAAAATCTCCTTGATCATTCTCAGAAAAAAAAGATCTCTTTAAAGGTGTATTTCCTGTTTACTTTGCATTGTGCTGAGAATCTGAGGCTAGGTGAGGTAACCTGTTAGGAAAGGAATAATATTAGCATAATCACTGTTTTATTAAAGCAACGCAGTGGATGCACGGTGTTGTCATTTACAGACAAATGAAGGATGAGATGTTTCTAGCATAAAGGAAATCAACATCTCCTTATGCGTGGCCTGTTTGGGTGCCACAAACCACACAGCCATAATGTTTGGAAGGACTGAAGTCAAGATAGGTCATACTTTGTTCAGGGGACAAATTGACATGGGTTCCAAGCAGCCAGCACTTGGCAATGCACAAACCTTCTGCTGTTCTCACAATGCTTCCTTTTCTGGTTTTCATGGTTGCTGCTGGGAGGGGGGGTGGGGGGGTGATGCACACCCAGCTTAAAGGCTTTATGAGGAGGAAATCAGTGTTACAAAGGAAGGTTTAATCTGACTGAGCTGGATGTGATTGGAGAAGTGCTCAGAAGGCATCAATTGATCAAAGGCTGGATTTACCAAAGAACTCTGAAATTACTGTAAAACACTTATGTGCTCTTTCTAAGCCTTTCTCATCAGTCTATGTGTTCAATTAAATGACTTAGGAAACACATTCTGCCCATAAATGGAAAGATTTTCCTGGCTATTACTGTAAACTAATTAGAATAAAATATCTTAATAATATGATTTTGTATCTTTTTTAATTATTATTATTTTCAAGCACATTTCAGAAAAATATTTCAATTTTAAGTCTCACAACAGGATTTATTGGTGCCATCTACTGGCTATTTACTCCTAAATTTCATCAAATTATGAATAATATGTTTTAAATGCAGAATAACGAGAGCTTCTTGAACCTCATAACTGAATCAGCCAACATCAAACTATCTAATTGGCAAATCTGTAATATTTAGGTTACATTAAGTCAAACTTTGGTACAATGTTCCAAAAATATAATTCAGTTATGATGCTTTTAGATGTACCAGCAGGAAAGAGCTCAAGCCAGCATAAAAGTGCTCATGCGTAGCATCCAAGCACCAAAGCCACAAACCCCCCTGTATCTCAGAGCTAAGTTTCTTCATGACAGTTGCTGAACATTTTAGAGCCTTCCTCCCTCATGCATGAGCACAAGGTGCATCTTCACACAGCAAATGTGGTTGTGGTGTTCTCCACCTTTCCAGGAAGGACATCTATGATAAAAGTTGAATGAAGGGTACTGCAATTCACAGCCCAGGCAGGCTGCTTACATTTCTGGTGAAGATGAGTTTAAGCTAATGCATGGAGCATGGGCTGAAGGGACAGCACACAACCTGTCCCACTGCATCTCTCATGTGGATGGTAGCAGCCAGCAGAACTTGGAGGGGAGCTGACAGCCCCCACTGCTGAAACCTCCCTGCTAACTCCATTGAAAAACATCTGAAAATGACCTGAGATTTGAACTATGCTCTAAATCTCTTCAACTCTTTGTAAAAAAAAAAAAAAATTAAAAAAAAATTGCAGTACTATAATAGTTTGAAATGGTGCCAGAGAAAGGTCAGAAAATTAGTATTACATTAACTGAAATGTTAACAATATCTCCTGAGCCAGGTGAGCAGAGTACTTACACATCTGAGCAGCTGCATCCCTAATCAGTGATATATTTGAGCACATGCTTAAAACACTTAATCATACTTAAAAGAGCTTTGCTGGGTGCCAATGAGAATGTTCACATTCCTCTCTCTGGTTAGTCAAGACCTTTATATAGCCAGAAACAAACATATTTAGATTGCGGTTCTGGAATAACTTGCTCAACTACTAAGTTCAGAGGAAGCAATATACATTAAAAGTGTGATTGAAGAAAGGGCTCATCCTTCCTCTTCTCTGCCTTTTTACAATCATGTAACAAAAACAATGGAGTTTTTAAGGGACGAAAACAATGTTATTTAGTCATAGCTGTGTTTTGGGAGACTTAATTTATGTATGAAAATGCATTTTGATAGAAGGAGCTAAGGCATCACTTAATACAACGCTATATTACACAATATGACCTGCAGAGCTCACAGCTAAGGCTGCTAAACTCCTTACCATACTCTATTTTCAGATGCTTTGGCAGACTGGCCCAGTTTTATTGAAAGGGTGCCTGTATCAGCAAAATTTCTTATTAAGGTATCATGAAAATCATATTTTTCCTATATTAAAATTATAACAAAAGCTTTTCTGAGAAGCTGTCAACTGTATGTGCTGGTAAGCACAGATCATTCACTTGCTATTGATTGTCCTACGCCTTTCTTTTCTTGTTTCCAGGAAAATGCCTCCAGGTTTAGTCAATGAAATTTAGAAGGAAGGAGAAATCAGTAGAAACCTGCTGGAGTCTGAATCTGCACTGAGCACAACCTATCTGCAAAGTTCTTGTGTATCTGAGGAACGGATGTGTTCCCCGAGCAGAGCACCTCAGTAACTTCATCAAGAGCTAGGCAGTGTCTTAGGGCATCTTCTGCAGAACCTGAGTGGGAACTCCTGTACTCTCCCAGTGCTCTTTTGCCAGACTCACTGCATATGTCGCCTCAGCACTCATGAAAAGAAAAATGTAATGTTTCTCAAATGAGAAGGAGCTACTGAGAGACAGTAGAAGCCAGATGGATGTTGAGAACTGGAACGACGACAGAGGATAACATAGGCCTTTGTAGGCTGGAGCACATTAACTTCCACAACCTGTACATAACAAGATTTCATTAATGCCACCTGTGAAACCCGCTGGGGAAATGTTAGTCACCTCCCCACTTGTTTGTATAGCAAATTGAATTCCATTACTGCTATCAAGTTACTCCATTTGTTCAAATGACTGAGCAATGTGGATCGGAGGCAGGTAGCTATAAGCTTTCTTGTGACTCGTACAGGTGCCAAGATGGTTTTACACAGGGGAATCCAGTGAGGTTTTGTGTATATTTCTACAGGAAATTACGCACAGAAGATCTGCACAGAGAGATTTTGTGGTCCTCTGAATAAAGCCATCATAGAACGGCTTAGGTTAGAAGGGACCTTAACACCCACCCTGTTCCAACCCCCAGGCATGGGCAGGGCTGCCACCCACCAGATCAGGCTCAGAGCTCCATCTAACCTGTCTGTGAACACATCCAGAGCTGGGGCACCCACAGCTTCTCTGTGCAGCCTGTGCCAGATTTTTTCTAACATCTAACCTAGATTTCTCTTATTTTAGTTTAAAACCACTCCCCCATGTCCTATCACTATTAGATCATGTAAAAAGTTGCTCCCCTTCTTGATTATAAGCTCCCTCACTTACTGAAAGATTACAGTGAAGTATCTCTGGAGTCTTCTATTGAAGAAGCTTGCAGTTTCTCTAGTGCGCAGCTTCATACTCTCCACCACCCGCAGACAGATAGGCAGATGACTTTGATGCTGGGTAAGCATGCCTGACTCTGCAGACTACCCTGCAGCACATCAGCAGAGATGGAGCACTGCCTGAACATCTGCGGACCATTTCTGAGGCTGGTTTGCATGTCTCGGTATCTGGTGGTTCCTGTTCCTGCAGCACAGAGCGAGTCAGGCAGCCGCACACATGTCTGATGAGACCTGAGGAGGCCCCACACAGTGGCTCATGGCTGCCTCCCCTTAGCAGAGGCCTGGCTCTTGATCTAATAGGGCTCATAACAGAAGATGTGCATAGACCCTTGAGTTCAGCCTCCAGAAGGCATCCACCACGAATGCCAGCCAGAGCCAGGTGCTCCTCTGTCTGAATATTATTGTCTTTTTTCTCCAAACTGATCCTGGTGCTTTGCATGAACGTTGTGTAGGTGCCACACTCACACAGATTGGCTGTCAGACCCTGACAGAGCATCGTCAGTTGGCTCAGCACACTGCCTGGAAACAGATCTCAGCAAGAGCTGACAGGAGGGACGAGTCCACTTCTTGATACCTGAAATTCTCTAAGTCACGGTTACACAACGTGTTGCATAGGTAATAAGCCTCGTCAGGAAAACACAACTGCAAGATATCATAGAGAAGGGATTTTTTCACCCCGTATTTCTGCGAGTGCTTCGCTGAGATTCCTCGAGCTTAGGACGGACGGACGGACGGACGGACTGATCAACAGCCGCTCACCAGAGCGCAGGCAGCGACCTGCCGCCCGCTGCCGAGGGGCGGGCAGCGCCGTGCCTCCTCAGGGGGAGGGAGGGAAAGGTGCGGCACCGCCCCGGCCCCCGCGCCGCCCTTTCAAGTATCGCGTGAGCGGCCCCGCTGCCCGACGCCACGTCCTGCCGGTGCCGCTGGGGAGCGGCGGCCATCGAGCCGCTGGGGGCTGCGGCTGGGTGAGGTGAGCGCGGGGAGCGGGCGGCGGAAGCGGCGACCGCGACGAGGCGGGTCGCGGTTCGCCCGGGGAGGCCGAGGGGGGGGGGGGCGGTGGGAGGCGGGCCTCGCTGTGAGGGGGCGGCGGAGGCGCGGCCCGGGCGTGGTCGGGCTGCGGCGCCCGAGCGAGCGAGCCCCGGCTGCTGGCCGACCGCTGGGCCGCCTCCCCGCCCGGCCCCGCGGGCAGCGCTTCCTAGGGCGGGGCTGGGAACCGAACGGCGGCGCTGGGAGCGGCCAGCTCTCCCTCGGGGCAGGTGGACGTCGGGAGGGCGCTCTCCTCGGTGGGAGCGGAGCGCGGTGCGGACCCGGGCTCTGCGCGGGGACCGAACTCGAGTTGTCGCGTCTGTTCATCGCCCCGTGTCGTCTCTTCCTGCGTTTGCAGGTTGAAGAAAGAAAGGATTTAATGAACTCGCTGCCGATCGAAATGGGAAGACGCCGAAAGCAGCAGCAAGGTGCCTGATCGGCCTTCTGCCGCCTCTGCCGCCTCTGGAACGACAAGAGAAAGATGCGTGTTCTGATCCTTGTGGAAAGACAGTCCGTGTAACTGCGAGTGGAAGCTATGTGCTGAAGTGGGACAGCCTGACAAAATGGGGGTGCTTGTGTTCTTCGTGCCTTACAGCTTGCTTCTGACTGTAGTGCGAGGGCACAGCTTATTCACGTGCGAACCGATTACTATTTCCAGGTGTTCAAGAATGCCTTACAATATGACTTTTTTCCCAAATATCATGGGACACTACGATCAGGACACTGCTGCGCTCCAGATGGAGGTGAGTTCTTCCATTCCTTCTGTAGGTGTGTAAATATAAACACTGTGAAATAAACCCTGATTTGTCATAGGGATATAGCTGATAGTAGTGATATCTGTTGTACTAAGTGATAAGCTGACTAGATGGCACTTCTTTGTGATGCTTTTGTCTGCTCTAGAGCTGCTTGGCCATGTATGACTGTGTAAGGGAGCTTTAGACGCACACAAACTCGCTTGGATTCTGTATTACACTGGCAGAAGAATGAACGTGGTGCATCAGTGTGGATGTTCAGAGCCACACTGAAACAAAACTAGTTGCATGTAGCCTGTGAACCTCATAGAGCAATTCTTGAAATGCTCTAGGACTGTATGTTATAATATTGGCCCACCTGAATTCAGCTGATGCAAAAATAATATTTCTAAGTCATTGTTAGTTCTTTCTCTTAGCTTAGTTCTTCTCTTAGCTGACATCTATGGAGGAGACGTCCCTAAACTTATTCTTAGCCCCGCTTTCAACTATTTTACTGATTGATTTATTTCACATTCTGCTGTCATCTGACTGAATATAGAAAATCCTGACTTTTCAAACTGAAACCAAGTACTTTCCTACCAGAGCTGACTGTAACATGGCTCCCTTCAGAGAATGCCACCTCGTGGAAAGGCTTTGCTAATTACAATAGCTATAGAGGGTGAGAGCCTCTCTGGGTAAGAGGCTTGTAAAACAAGTTTAAAACCTGTTTTAGTAATGCCTTTTCATGGTAAGAGGAGGGGAGCACCTTAACACAGGTCTTGAAAAGCTCAAAGTCTTGTGCTGTGCAGAGAGGGGGAAAAAAAGAGGCGAGTTTTAAAACTCAGAAGTTTCTGGTGGTTGATTTTTTTTTTTTTTTTTTTTTTTCTTTTTAAAAAAAGAGAAAGTAGTCTTGTTGAAGGCTACAATTGCTGAAGTCTTATTTGCATATTCATTACTGAGCTTGGGGAAGGAGCTTGGTTCAGTTGCCAAAGCTGTTTGGAATACTCAGGGTTACCACTTTTGTCTCTAGCTGCCAGACTAGAAGGGTAGAGTCTTGTATTGTGTTTGTCAGCCCTGTGTAGATGTATGGGAAATTCCAGTGTCAAATGCTAAAATATTTGTATGTGAGCAACTGAATTCAGCTGCAGGTCTCAGATTATTTATGTGATTCTAAACTGGGAAGCAAGCTGTCAGCTTGAACTCTGTGCAGTGCCCTCTCCAGTCATCATTTGTCTGGAATGCTCACTTTTTACAGTGTCTGCCATCTTATGTTGTCAGGTATGGTGGTGGTTCTTGCTAGGCATGTCTTCAGTATATTTGCTGGAGTGGCTTCCGTCAGAATCCACACCTTCCAGTAACACTGCTGTTAGAGCATGCAGACCACCGTCGTTTTTTTTTTTGTTGTTGTTTTCTGGGCACTTCTGAGCTATCTGAAGCCCCTGTGTGATGATCTGCCTTCCACTGTTTGTGACTGGACTGTGCTGCCTGACTGGTTGGCCAAACAGAAATGGCCAGACACCGGCCTTACTGGTGAAGGGGTGAGGAAGTTTGCCCCCTCTCCTTTTTGTACAGCTTCTATTGAACATAGTGCTAGCAGTTGAACTGGAGTTAAGCAGTAAGGTCAGTCCAGTTTGTGGTTGGGCCTGGAGAGCAGTTTGTGCTTACGGATTCTGAAGTGATTGTACATGGTGTTCAGTAATGGTGTTGGTATGCTTTGGGAGTGATTGATTGCAACAGTGATCTGCTCAGGTCTGCAAAGGTGCTGCTTTTCAGGGAAGCTGGTGTTGTAGCAGAGAAGGAAGAGTTACTGATTTCTGAAATATGCTTTTATTTTGTTTTACAACCATTAAAAAAAAAAAAAAGCAGCTGGTTGGGAGGTGAGGAGACTCTTAAGAGCTTGAATTTTTCTGTGGTTGGTAGTCCAAACTTCATTTGTACCAAGGAAAGAATTTTAATCATATGTTGGTTAAAACATCTTTCTTTTGATCCTCAGTAGGAATGCTTAAAGGCTTTGGTTTTGAATTCCATCTCTCTTTCCCCTCCCCACAACTTGTTCTCAAGGCTGGGCACAGTCTTACAATGTAAACACAAGGTTTTGAGGCTGACGCTTGCTTTAATTCCCTTGCTTGATCTTAGCTGATTTTGAGCGAGTTTCTTAGTCAAAGCAGTCCCAGGACATACGGTGGAGATTTCTTCATGAAGTCAAAGTGTTTGGTGAAGGAAGTGTTTTCTGCTATTCTGCATTCTGGAAACTTATTTCCATTATTTATTCAGACTGTTTAATCCTAGGAAGAACAAAGAATTGTCAGGGAAGGGGATGACACTCCACCTGTCCAAAACTTCACATTCTCTCTGTCGTACTTCGAAGGCTCAACGGGGTGCTCTCCTGTAGGGAGTCTTTTATAGCTGGAGGAGCTGTGACTTCCAACTGCGGGACCACAAAAACTTCCATAGCGCTCTTCTTTCTGGAAGAACGTTAAATGGGTGTTTTTAGGGCTGCTGTCTTCCCAGTCCTACTGCAAGAGGGGACGATGTGGAGATAGTCTCAGGTGGTGGTTTTCGTTCTGGAAATCAGCTGGATCACCATGGAGTCAACCAATTCATGGTAGTGCATTTCTGTCTCATCTGTTGGCTCTTCATGCTATGAATCAGAACACCACACTAATTAAAGTAGCTGCTGTTCTGCACGTTCTAGTTAATGATGATAATTTTCTTGAATTCTTATTTTCTGCAATAGGAAATTTGTAATTTCCCATTGTTCTCCATCTTTGCTGAATTTTTGGCTTTGTGAACTGAATGTAAGGTCCTTGAGTTTTGCTTTGTTTGCATTAGTTTCGTTTATGCAACAAACAAAAATTTTTTGAAAGACCCACCATATGACTTAGTGGTGTGAAGCTTTTAATGTTATCTAAGCATCTGTGTGACAGTGGAATCTAATTATTTGCAAATGCTTGCTGTATCTGTGCCTCAGCAATTTATCAGTGGCACTGCTCATGTTCTTACTTAGACTGAGAGACTGAAGAGGTAGAGTTTTTCTTCTGAGGGAAACAGACAGGTATGACTGTAATGAAGCAGGCATTTTGCTGCTCTTCTGTAGTTGGAACTCCCTCTCGTGGTGCTCCTCAAAAACAAGTCACTTCTAATTTCAGTGTAATTACTTCAGCTATCCCAGAGTTGGTGTCAACACAAAGAATTGTTCTGTCGGAACAGAGAATGTAACTCTGGAACATTTTCCTGTGGTCAGAGTTCTCAATCTTTTGTGATAGAACCACGTATTTGTGATGAGTTTGGTGGAGCTGACTGCGGCAGTGGCAGGAACTGAGAACTAGAGTCAGTTAATCTACCAAAATTGTCTTGAAGTGGATTAAAAAGTACTTTCAAAAGTTTGATACCAAAATTCTGTGGCTTTCTACTTCTGTACATTCAGTGAGTTTAATTTTTTTAATGTGATCTCTTAACTTTCCTTCTCTAGGTATGAGTTTGCAATTAATTCAATATGAAGATGTGTGGAAAAACTGGAAACATCTAGCAAGCTTAAATAGTATATATATGTATTCTGATTTATATAGCATAACACACTGGCAGGAGGAATAAGATCAGGTTTCCAAGCTTGTGTAGGTTGGGAATGTTGGAGAAGTGCTGTTCAGTGTGGAATGCTGTTACTGGGATGTTCTGCAAAAGTGTGAATTTACTGAAACATGTAGAGACAGGCACCCTGCCTCTCTCCATACAATATGTGAAACATTAATACTTGAGGATTGGAAGCCAAAATCTCTCAAATTCTTGGTAGCTCAGCTTCAGTTAAGAAAGCAGTGGATGTTCTGTATCCGCCTGGAGTTACTGCTCATTCCTCATACTTCCTCAGAGCCTAAGCTGGAGAGAAGATACAGAGGTATAAACAAATACAAGGAGCTCCTGCTTATAACATCTGTGCTGCTTCATTACCGTATATAAGTGGTAGTAACTGCTAGGGAAGGCTTTAAAAAGGAAAGAGTAGTGAATGTAGCATGCTGTGCATCATTCAGTTAGTACAAAGTTAACTTATTTAGCTTATTGAAACAAAAGGTTTAGGTGGTGAAACAAGTAAAGTACTACTTGTTAGAATAATGTTTGCAGATGCTGAAATTCCTTATAGACACTTCATATCGAAGGGAATATGAAGTATGACTTCTGTGCTGGTGAAGTTTGTGGAAGAAGAGAATAGCAGCTGGACATGAATAACTCTCCTTTGTGCATCACAGTGTTACTTGTGGAAAAGCTTTGGCTACTGGATCCTAACATCAATTACACAAATCCGTATCCCTCTGTACAACACTCAAATTCAACGAGTGCTCTTTGCTTTGGTGCTCTTTTGCACTTGCTCTCAGGTGTTTCCAAGGTGTCCTTAGTTCTTAGTAGTGAGAACTTCAGCAGTTCCTATACCACCTTTGCTAATTCCTGTGTGTGCACTAAATTACAGCCACTAAAAAAGTTTGTGTTTCCAGTAATACCATGGCCTGTCATCAGGGGTAGTGAGTTTGTGTTCCATTGTCCAAAACCAGCAAGTCTAACATGTATAGCCTTATTACGGTGGCCTGATGCATATCAGTTACCTGCTAGATCTAATGGTTGGTCTGAACAGCATTCCCTGTCTACTCGATAATGTGAATAATACTGCCTTGCTTGCTGTACTAAAAGGATGCTGCTTAGAGTCTAGTGGGGTCCAAAGTAATGTCTGCTTGAAGAAGGGAGATTTTTTGCCCTGTGCTAAGTGTGGTTCATTGAGATGGTGCTAAATGTGATTCCCAGAGCTTTGCCTTTACCTTTGTTTCAGAGCTGTGTCCATAAATAGTTTGTTACAGGAATGGATCACTAGGTGAAGAGCTTAGTGTATGTTCCTTCTGCTGCGTGAGATTGAGGGGCCTAACTGGACTCAGAACAGTTCTGTGCATGACATTTGAAGGTGACCTAAGGAGGGCTGTCATCCAGGTCTTTCTCAATAGCCAACCTTTCTTGGAATGCTATGGTGTCCT